ACAATGCAACTGGTCAAAATGTTTCCACAGATTATACACATTTATCACATCACGTCTTTCAAGTTGAATTAACCGATTTAAAAAAAGATCTTATGAAGTATTATTCGGATGTAACCAAAAGGATTTATACCATAGAGAAATAATAAATATGTACTGAAGCCTAATAATCCAAAATGTTATGTCACAGATGGATTTTTATAAATCCTTGGTTCAGGATCCATGATTGAATCAGAGAATTCAGACAAAGATCTCGTCACATGATGAAGATTTTATTTAACATCATATCTGGTATTTACAATACAAACACAAACTAAAACGTGTTGGGGCACATCAGCAGGACTGTTCAACCAAAATACTCCATATTCACACCAGCTGTTCATCGTGTTACCGAAACTGAAGGTTGATTACCCACAATTCATCACTCTCGTCGTCAAGTGCCAAAACACCTTGAAAATGAAATACTGTGATAGAACTCAGCGTTTACAGACGATGGCTGTCACTTCGTCACTTCACGACATTCACCATCAAACTCTAGATGCAACATTTACACACTATCTGAAAAGACTTCAGGCTAAAACTCCCACAGTGCAATGCTGTCGAAGTGTGTGAATGAGTGAATGAGCGAGGAAGCGTTTTCCGACACAGCAGCGAAACACAAACACGCGTGTGGACAACACGGTGCATGTATGTGCGAGGTGCAGAGGCACGAGCAGCGTTGCAGTACGTGATACTCAAACATACATTAAATTACACAACACACAGGTGAGGAGCTAACGAGGCAGAGCGAGGAACACGCTCGAGTCTGTGACGCTACATGATTCACTGAAGTCTCAGTTCTGACCGAGTTTTATTTCAATCAAAGCTGACGGAGTCGCCTTTCGTCGGGTAAACATTTGAACAACAGTTTGGAATTTTACTCCCTGACTGTCGCTAGGCAACATGACAACCAACTTTTGTAACGTTGGCAGCAGTCGCCGTGGCAACGTCATCAAGGGAAAATATTTTTTAAACAATTCAAGGCAAAAAAAAAACAACAACTAAAAAACAATATGGCTGCCAAAACCCTGACCAAATATTAACAGCGATCAACAGCTCTGTGCGTAAACGTGAGGATTCACAAAAATAAATAAAGATGGAGCGATGATGAAAAGATGGAGAATGATGATTGACAGGAAACTGAGCCAAACGACTATTTAAATAAGAGAATAAAAAGATTTAGTCTCTTCCACAAAATTAAAAATAAAATTGAAAAGTAAAAATTAGTTTGTAACAGTTCTGAATTCCAGTCCTTGACTGTCGCTAGGCAACATGACAACCAACTTTTGGAACGTTGGCAGCAGTCGCCATAGCAACATCATCGAGGGCAAAACATTTTTTTTAGATGTACGTAAAAAAACAAAAACAAAGAAGAAACACAATATGGCCGCAAAAAACCTGAGGAGTGTGAGAGTAATGAGGCACGAATGAAAAGCACGGCTGTGATGGAGGGATGACAAAGAGATGAAGGACAAGAGCAACAAAAAAAAAAGATCACAGTCACCCCAGAACAAGATCAAACACACTAACATGTGAGCGTGCAAGTCAACATATAAATAGTATAATATTTTCAAAATGTACATATTTTACAAATGAATACTTTGGCTGGATGATGCAGGTGGTCATGCGGTTAAGAGACGTGTGCACCCGGATCCACGTGTTAGATTCAAATCTGGTCACATAGTTTGTTGCGCTGCAGTCGGACACTAACACTTTGTCAGTAAAACACAAAGACAAATTTAGATTTTCTTTTTCAAACTGCAGAAAAATCTCATCTAACGAGGCTGCAGGGGAGTGAATTCGTTTTTTGGACAATTTACTATTTTATAAGAACCCAGACTGCAGCTTGTAGATAACTTCCCCTTTAAAATCTCCGTCAATTGTTTTAAACACTTTTAAAGTCACAGTTTTATTCATCTTTTCCCCACTGAGATACTTTGAATCCACCTCAGGACTCAAACCAGGGAGGTGTTTGATTTGTGACATCACGAAAATGAAAGTTGAGGGTTAGTGGCGTGTTGCAGGAGCGGTGCGGGACAGAAGCTGGAACACAACACAACACCACACACCTCCGTCAGCGCAAACACAGCACATCACTATCATCAAACACAGCAACGCACAACGACACCATGACTCCATCCACCATCAGCTAAATATTCATCTTAACAAGTCTCACACTTCATCAAACAACTTTTATCTCCGTCAGATGCAAAGTGACACATCTTCACGTTTCAGCTCAAATCTCTCGGATCAAACTTTAGAACAAATCACTTTCTTGTCAAGATAAATATTTTTCCAGTGTTTGCAGAAAACTAAATACTACGTAGTGTAAATAAATAAATATGTTGTTAAAGTGCAGCAGGGGCGAAAATAGCTTCTTCAACTACAATAACTCACGACAGGATATAGAAAATATACTTTGCGTCACACATATACACACGTTACACACACATTGTACAATGTTAGTTATTCATACATCTGTAAAAGGTACAACGCCACACACACGACAGACTCGTCAGACCAAGTGTCACAATGTCGACAGCGTCTGGACCCGACGAATGAGACAAGTGAATGAATGAACATTGTTGTATTTCAATAATCAATAATCACTAATAATGACGTGTGAAAGACATTAAGAGTTTCTGTGAACATGTCTGAAGGTGGCGCTATAATCAGTTTGAGTTACATGAAATAATTAACACATGTTCTTTAATTCACTGGTGGAATAAAAAAACTTGTGATTACTAATTGTGTAACCTCAGTTCTCTGAGTGCTCCCCTAGTGGACCATCGAAGAACTACAGTTTTTAAAAGCTAACTTTGCCTTGAGTCACTGTTAAGAAATGAACAATTTGTCGAATTACAACAACAAATAAGAAAATTAAATACTTTATTTATTTACGATGCATCCGCCCTGATGACACGTCGAGTTCCTGACTAGCTTCAGGTGAAGGCTAATCCACAGCTAAGCTAACTGGCTATGTAACGTAGCATTCAGGTAGTAGAGAGAATATCAGGCTTCGTAGAGACAAAGACGATTGAGTATTGGAAGCCGTTATCATTTAATAATAATAATTTAAAGCTAACGTCAGGAAGCATTTAAGACATGTGGTCCTCCTCTACGTGTTGTTGACGCAGCTTTAACTTCTACATTGTCGAGGCTGCAGATTCTACATCGATTGCACATTTTATTTATTGACTCCTACTTATTCTAATATCAGCTCGGCCACGTTCACGCTCAGGTAAATGTTGTTTTGAATAATTCATTGAAACTACTTGACTCCTATGTTAGTGATTGTGGCTCTAATGCTGCTTTACAAAGTGCATCTACATAGAGAGAGACAAATAAATGTACAGTGTCACGTCATCTAAATCTCTGAGCTGCAGTTCAAGTGACGCAGGTTCGATTCCCTCACCGCAGGCAAAGCTCAATACAGACATATTTAATATTTTATACCTGTGTTAATTTGGAAAGCATCATGATTCTAAATTTACTTCATCATATATATATATTTCATACAAAAATCAAGTTCTTAGGGTAATAAATAGTCATAATTTTCTCTTTAACAGAAACATTGCACGTTACCCTACTGTTATCTACTGAAACTAAGACTATTCAACCGGCCAGTTTTTGTCTGCAGACATTAGGAAATCCTCAAATTCATCATAGCCACAAGGCAGATTTAGTTTTTTTTGGAATAAATGATGGAACTCAGCACCAGCAACATAAACTGATGAGAAGAATATCAAACTAAAAACTTCGGGATCTAGATTTAAATTGTCTTAAATTGTCATGATCACATCTGTCCTCTATGTCTTTAAAGTTTAGTTCTTTGCCATTAAAAGGTTTTTCAGCTGAATGCAGAGCATAAATTCAGATTCGAGAACACGTCCGAAAACAGGAACGGATAAAAGATCATTAAATGTTACAGGATTAAACAACGGCGTGTTATATTGCACTAAAATATCCACAAGAGGAATAATTAAAAACAAAATGTGCACGATCTCCTCGCTCACACTAGCAGGACGTGAGCTCGGACATCAATGGAGACACGTGTCCTCGACTGTAATGACTCACCTCATGTCTGTGAGTCAGTTTCCATCAACACCGAGTGAATCCACGTCATGTCGGCAAATCTTTACTCATAAACCAACTAATATAATTTAACAATTTTGCTTGTGTCAAATGTTAATTTTGTCGCTTGCAAAGTCTACGTCCGTCTCTTTTTATCCGATACAGACGCTTCCATGATTAACGCTTTAATTGATTTATCTGCCTGTCAAAGCTAATTTCTTTTTCTTTGCTCTGTGCAAATCAGCGTTAACGTGTTGTTGAACGCTCTCAACACGTATTGTTTACATGTTTCAAGATTCCGAACACTTTCAAGGAACAGTTGAACGCACAGACAGTCTGTGCCGGCGCGTTGGAAAAGTGGGTCGTTCTGACTCGACACAGCTGCAGTGAAAAAGCCTCGTCTTGTTAATGAGTGTAGCTGAAGTGTAGCTGTAGTGTAGGAATGTACAGTAGCTTGAATCTGTGTGTTGTACATCGACTGCTTCTCTCTCACAGTAAAGGGAGGGAGGACGTAAAAGAAGGAATCGTGAAGTTGTGAAAGCAGAAGCCGGACTTTTAAAAATCAAAGCCCACAACTCGATGACACTGCCGGTGTCAGCAGGTCTAATATAAAACTTCTGTTTCTTTTTTCCAATAGTTAATTCAATTTACAGCTTTTTAAAAATCTCTGCTGCTTCCTTCATTTAAAACCTCCTTCACCTGTGAGAGCTGCGTCAGCAGCAGCTCTACACACTCTCCTGCACTGTCGAGTTGGATTTATCCTCCAGAGGTGTGGTCTCAGCTGCAGGAGCCGGAGCCGCCACCACCGCCTCAACCAGCGGCACCTTCTCCTTCACCGGAGAGGCGGGAAGCGTCACGGCTGCACTGGCGCCAGCGGGAGGCTCCTCAACAAACGAGGAAGTGGGAGGCGGGGCGCTGCCAAAGCTGCGGGCGATCTCATCAAAGGTCTTGCCCTTCGTCTCTGGGACTTTGATGAAGGTGAAGATGAAGAAGATGACAAGGAAACCGGTGAAGATGAGGAAGACCCATGGCCCGCACGTATCCTGAGGAGAGGAGAGAGATTATTCAGATTAGATTATTTCATTTAAACGACAGATAAAAGAGGGAAACATCCTGCGCACTCTCTCTCTCTCTCTCTCTCTCTCACCACTAGTTTGGGGAAGCTCATTCCAACCAGGAAGTTGGCCGTCCAATTGCAGCAGCCGGCCACCGCCATGGCGGCCGGTCGGGGTCCCTGGGAGAACAACTCAGCCACAATGAACCACGGAATCGGACCGGGGCCCAACTCAAACATGGCCACGAACAGCATGACGGCCATGATGGCCACGTAGCTCATAGCAGGAATGTTCACCTGTTCAGGTAGAGAGAGAGAGAGAGAAAGAGAGAGAGAGAAAGATCGGACAAGAAGTTAATTAACCTCAGTCATCAGCAAATATCCATTTGATTTAGGTTGTTTTTGTTTACTGCACTTTTAATCAAGTTAAATATAGTTTTTACTTTTTTCCCCCGTGTAGAAGGTTACACCACTAGAGGTCACTAAAAACAAGCCATTCTGAGGGTGAAAGTCCAAAATGGGTCAAT